TCTATCGCGCACCCCTGAAAGCTAACATAAGAACCTGAATGATTGTTTATTTATGCTATTTGAAGAACGAGGTGGATATTTGTGGTTTATGCGTAAGCTAATGCATAATGCACGTTCACACACTTATTTGTTAATTTGAATTAACATCGAAAACCTAATTGTGATATAAGATAAAGCAATAACGACTTGCAGTAACTATTTAGAAAAGGGTGGTCTTTGAAGTTATTATCAACCTATGGTACTAAACGAAAATGGCTAAAAAGGTTTGTCGAGGTATTTTGGAAATTAAATTTGCCGGCATAACATACTTCTAAGCAATTACTATTTGTCAAACACATTTATTTATATATATCAAATGGTAGGCTTTATAAAAGTTATCATTAGCCCTTTAACTGACTTTAGGCTTCACAGAGTGGAGGAACATCAAAGTGGGAAAAGTCGAGAAGGGGAACAGAAGAGTGATTCACAGATGTAAAAGAGACAAGGGGGGACAGAATAATGATTCACAGACGTAAAAGAGACAGAGCAGACACAAAGGTAGAAAAAAGGTGAGTTGAATACTGTGGAAGGGTTGGGATCAGAAGAGCGATTCACAGATGTAAAAGAGGCAGACAGAACAGAAGAGCGTTTCACAGATGTAAAAGAGGCAGACAGGGAAACAGAAGAGCGATTCACGGATGTAAAAGAGGCAGACAGATGACAGAATAATGATTCACAGACGTAAAAGAGACAGACAGATATGACACAAAGTTATAAAAAAGGTAAGATGAGTACTGTGAAAGGGGGCGAATCAAAGGTAGTGAAAAGGTAAGATGAATACTGTGGAAGTGGTGGACTATGACACATAGTGGGGACATGGTATTTTGAAGTCAGAATTCAAGAGCCGGATTATGGACCTTTTTGCGTATGGGTGTACGTTGCCCAGGGTGCACTACGTGGAGGTAAGTCTATCGAACGCCCCTTTGTCAAACACATAAGTATGTCTATTTCGATTGCAAATGTACGACAATTGAATCCAGAAGTAGTTATCCTTGATGTTATCCATTAAAACAACCCTCAATTCAAAGTTGTTTTGACGCGTTTTGGAAATTCAGGATATTCTATTAGAAAGAGCTCCTTGTTTGTAATCTAAGCTTTGAATATGACAAGGAAAAAAACCCAGGGTGGCAAAGCAATTCACTTGGGTTCATCACAAACCGAAATAACGAAAGGCGAGAAAAAGTTTAAATTTGTGAATTTGTTCATATGTTTCGACTGACCAATCAACTTTATTTTTTTGTGTTCTAAGAAAAATTAAGCTTCCAATAACTGTAATTATTATCCATTCAAGCTAACCTCCTTTTACACTCCTCGAATTTGGTCTATCAAGCTTGAACTATAGCGAACCTTTTTAGGGTAGGAAGATCCTTCAATATGTTTCATATGTACCTCCCATAAACACAAAAATTTGCATTCAAATAAACGTCCCCATGCCGTTAAGAGGTCAAGTAAATTAGCTGATGATGTTAAGGTGATCGAAAGTCAGTGACTCCGTTTTTAAAACTTTTGACTTTAATTACCCCATTCAACAGGTAAACTGAATGTTCATCAACAAATGATCTCATATCACGGTGTTTACTGCAGATATCATATGACTGTCTAATTCGATCGCTTATGCTACCGATATAAGACCATCAACTGACAAGTCGAAATAGTTTACATACACATTGATCACGGTTTCCGGTTAGTAGGCAGATTACAAGTTCCATGTTAACAATTAGAATGGCTATAAGATATGTGAAATTTACCCTAACATCAACTAATCATAATTGATTATGGGCTAAGAAGTAATCTGGTAATCTCGATGAGGAAGAAGAAGTATGATTAAGGATCAACGAGTCTCTAAACGTCACATTAACCGATGAATTGTATTCATCAAATAATCGAGGTAGAAAAGTGAAACAGAAATGGCAGGTAAAATTCAAATACGTAGTCTTCCACCCCCACAAATCACCTCCTTTTCAAAATTAAATATCGATTCAGAAAGAAAATATCTCATTTCTGAACCCCATTAGAATTTCTATGATTTTAATGGAAGATATGAAACTAGTTATGAATTCGTATTGATTACCGTTAATATCCATCAGGATGTCTGTGGTGGATAAAATCATTACGCGCCTTTTACACCTCATTCTAATATGCACGATGATTCACAAATTTCAAACATCTATCGTGTGCTCAAGTGGTGTGCCTACCGTATGCATAACTCCAGTGATTCGAGTTTTAATGATTCATAAACTTGTAGAGAGTAATTGAAGCAACTACTAGGGTTGGAAATTAGAGTCCTACAGATAAGCGTCTAATGCTTCCAAGGGTGGATTTCCTGATAAATCGTGAAAATGCGATCTGGGACTTTATACGCATCCTTAATGCGACACTCTCACATTGTCACTCAAAGAAGACCCTCTGCTCAAAATGTGCGTGCATAGATATTATTGATTTTCACTATCTACTGCACGGCTGTGACTCAACGAATCGGCTCACTTTCACTTAAATTTTCAAGTCTCAAAATTTTACCGTCACTCTCTCCCCTCCCCCCCCCTCACTTTCGCATTAATAACATCGTAATAAGATTATGCTGTTGAATACTTCAGCTTATGCATTTCTCCCTCCTCCCTCCACTCTCTCCCCCAGTTAAAAATTCACTTTATCTACTTCCTTCCTCGAGACAATGAAGATTTTGGTGATTTAGATAAGCTTCATTTTATCAAGCTTTCTTAAGCCTTCGTTGAGATAATGGAATAGAGAAAGTGTATTCATAGTGGCTCATCTGTCTCATGCCTTCTATTCGTCAGATGGTGACACTTTGTCAGTTGCCAAGCAGTCACTTCAGCTTATGATCACAAGTCTGCACATGCTGGGCAAAAGCCTGTTCATTGCTCCTCATTCCATAATTCCTCCTTCGTTCCGCTCTAGGTGATGAAATAGTGGCTGATGCAGTGTATCATGAAATTCTAATCTTCTTTATCTTCATTGTCTTGCATCTTGATGATTAGTTAACTAAAGCGCTATTAACTGTATAGCTCAAATCGTCCTACCTACTGCGCCCTGTATGTTATATCCCCGATGAATTCTCTGCTGTTCACTGAGCAATATTCAAATCCCACTTTTATTTAAGTAACAGTCACACCTTTTAATTTTACCTCACAGTTAGATCCGTCAATTACCTTGTATTTACTCCTATTATCTCTAACTAGGTCTCTGAATACGATGACGTAACCTTCCTGAGCACAGCTCCAACATGTCTTATCTTCCCACGACCAATTTTCGGCTCCTCACCAACAACTGCGAGTCTAATTTTGTTAGGTACTTCAGCCAGCTCCTCCTACTTTCCAATGTGTAAATCTCTCCATCCATTCATCCATTTATCTCTATTTCAGTTTCATGAGGAAAGTTATCGTACTTTAACGTAGTTGTATCTTCTTAATCAGCTTTCAAGATCTTCTGGGGTTTTTCCTTGTTCTTTACTTTCAAGATTAGTGTAGTTTCTGAGCATTAATTACGGCTCTATTAAGTTAAGTTACACTCAGTGGTACATCAGCAAAGAGCCACCAACATTCAAGTAACCTTGGACACTCCCTATCTACAGAACAAAGTTTAGACAGTTTGATTTAACATGTACTTCAGCCACTCTCTTTTACTGAACTCTCGGTTGTGGAGGTGACTAGAGTAGAACACAGAAGCGGTAATCTTAAATTTCTTCAATAATATGCCAATTGCTTTTAGAAACTAATTGGTGTTGAACATGGATGGCTTATTTTTTTTGGGAGGTAAGCAGAAGTGAACTTTTCAACCACAATTGGCCTTAGGAGAGCGATGATTGAGAAGTAGTCATATATTAGATTCATCATGAAACTGGTCTGCATTTTATTAAAATTCAGCACTTTAAGTGGTGAGTGACAGCTTAGTTCTTACATTCAGAGGGAACGTATTCCATTTACGCTTTGCCTTGAATGTCAAAATTAGACAATAAATAGGGAGTATTGATGAGGTGGCTTGATCTGGCTTCGGGAGACACTCCATTCAAGGGGAGGACTTAGCTCGCAATTATAATAAATTAATGTGCCTCGAATTTACAAAAAAACTTGTGGGAAGTGTCATGCGAGATAGCAAGTAAACAGCCCCCTGTGTTTAACGAATGTAATGCGTAATTACGCAGTGATTATAGAGTGAGAGTTGAATAAATTATAGAAATGCGAAGTTTGAGAACACTGTGGCATAAATTGAGTATTATTTAATATGATTTTTAGTTGATTGTTCCTTTCGGTATCTGTTGAAAGAGGGATATTATTGAAGCCACTATGAAAAGACACACATACGTGCTTGACACATTTAAAATAATAATGGAAGAAATTCCCCTTTTTAAGCATTCTTTCATTCGGCTGAAGTAACATTAAGCACATCCAAGAGGAAGCCATTAAAATGGGTAATTGAATGGAAATTTTTACGAATTTTAGGATTTATGGAAATCGACATGTATTGACAGTTTACAAATGAAATTCAAGCAATAGGACGTGATGAGGGGAAATATACCCTGACACCTCAAACGAGGTAGATTACGAAAATTTCTGACTTAGTTAATAAGTTTGTTATGATTATCGTTTTTCCTTTGTTGACATAGCCCTGAATTTCAAATTCATATGCCTGTGAGTTTTTTGAATTCCAAAAATCTACAAATAAATCAATATTTGCATGGAAGATATACCGAGGACGTATACATGAAATGAATAGTTACATTTGAGTTCTGAAACTTGAATAAAAACAGCGTCATATGAATTCGATAGCTAATGAAACATGACACTACACCAACCAATGAGATTATCGTTCTTAAAAGTATAAATATGTGTGTAAGATGACCACCAAAATAAGACGTTAATTGTACGTGACTTATTCTCTACATGATGAATTCGATTTCAACTAACTAATTTTGATTTCCAAATTGAAGATCTGTTTCTTTTCAGAGTAAAATGTGTGGACCAAGGATCGTCACACACGAAGACTTTAATGCGGGCTTTACTGAAGCATCATTAAAGGCATATGGTGCGTTTTTCACGTTTTGTTTTCTCAATACTCTGATTCAACTACCAGTTTCTTTAATCCAATTACTTAAGTATATTCTCAACATAGCATATGTACAATTGTCATGAATTTTTACTCTCTTGATTACACAATTTTTAAATAGGAAACAGTGGAAACTATGTCGCTTCTCCAATGAGTGTTCTCGTGTTGATGTCGGCTCTCCTCACTGCTAAGGGACCACAAGGTAATACGGCGAAAGAGATCTGTGAAGCACTTGTTGGGGAGAAAAAGAAGTACTCGTGCATTAATAATGAAGACTACAAAGAGGTCGTAAGCCTACTGGAAAAAATTCGCACTGGTGTTGAAACTGCAAGGTCACCAGAGGGGGAGAGTGTATTGAAAATTTCCAATGCTGCATTCATTGAGAAATCATTTTCAGTTAAAGATCAGTTCATCAAAGGCTTCACCTTTTTCCATGGAGACAAGGTAATGAGAACACTGTTCAACAATTCCGATGCCTTTGAAAACATAAACAAATGGGCAGATACAGCTACGGATGGATTGATTCCGAAGTTCCTTAACTCTAAAGATGAACTTAGTAAGGACACCCTGTTGGTTCTACTGAATGCCATAACTTTCAAGGGTAAGCTAATTTGCATTGATCTTATATAACATCTACCATTTAGACAACTGGGCAAAACCATTTGATACTGAGAGAACCAAGAATAGTGACTTCCGTCTAACAATAAGTAAAAGCATTCAAGTTCCAATGATGCAAATGGAAGGACGAATGATTTATATCAAGGAAGATGACTATAAGGTCCTAGCAAAGCCTTTTAAAGTAAGGAAATTTGCATCTTTGATCGACAACCCAACAGAGGGATGTCTACCTAAATTATAACTGTTTGCACAATTTACTTATAGAATGAGAGATTCAGCTTTGTTATTTTCCTGCCCGAAAAAGACTTCGAAATAGACGAGATTGAAGATGAGCTTGAGGACGGAGATTTCAAGTGGCACAAAGTAACAAAAGAAAAATATCTTCGACAAGTGCAACTCAAACTCCCAAAGTTTAAAGTGGAGCACAAATTCGATCTCAAACCCATTCTACAACTCCTTGGAATGCGTTCCATCTTTACTCCTGGTTATGCTAATCTAACAGGCAAGCGAATTTATCCGCATGAAATGGTTAATTTTGCAATAAGTTTTGGGATAGTTAATTGACTTATGCACATTAAAATTGTTATTGTGATTAGGTTAGAAATTGATCTTCCGAATAGAGTAAGGAATAATATATGTGCGTTATTATTGGTTTTTGATTAAAATAAAGATATCTCAGTAGAATTAGTATCTTTTAGATTTTTCAAATTATTCATCAAATTTGGAATTTCATTGTAACGCTTTTGTAAAATGGACATCTATTTTGTGCTCTAAGAACAAGTTAAATTGTAGCTAAAAGTACTTAAGAGATGTTTTTTTCATAAATGCAGTCTAACCCTTGCATTAACTCTGCAGGAATAAATAATTCATCTGCACTGTATGCCAGTGACGCCAGACAAGTTGCCATGATGGAAGTCGATGAGGCGGGTGTGAAGGCGGCAGCTGTCAGTGGACTCAGTATTATGCCAATGTCACTTCCACCTCCTGCTACTCCATTCATTGTTAATCAACCATTCTACTGCGCCATCTATGACAGCCAATTAGACATGCCTCTGTTTATTGCCCGTATTGTCGATCCTCGTTAGACAAATGAGGCTTCAACTGGAGGGAAATGTGAAATAGTTGATAGATACTGAATCGAGCTGATTCATAGCAAAATAAAGTTTTATAGCAATCAGTTTGATGTCTTCTTACGTGGAAACCAGAGAATAAGTGAATTGTGACATATCCCTCAAAATGATACCTTGTATAAAGCTAATCCAGAGTTTCAATAAACCAGATGAACCCACCCAGAATTAAATTCTGCATTACAACTGAGTCTCATATTCACTGCAATGATTGTGAAATTGAGGAACACTTAATTTCGTTCTTCTGAGATGGTTGAGAAACCTTATTCCTCAACAAAAAACTATTCTTGGATTATAGTCAGGACAACAATGCCCAAAGTAGGAGTTGACACTTGAACTTTAAGGGAGTGGGGTGTGTTTGAATTTAACAGATTTCTCGTTATTTTGAGATTACTGTGTGGACACCTCAGTTGCAGTGAGGCGATGTGATTTTTTAAGGGTCGAGTGCACAAAAGAATTTGGATGCAACAGTAACGAAATGTTTTACTTTAATTTTAAAGTAAATAGGCCATGCACTGCTTCATGTCGCAAGAAGATCTTATTAAAATAAGCCCTCGTAATATTTTGTTTCTAGCAAAGGTCTATTCATCAATTGACTTTTAGATTTTCTCTTTCAGACCTATATAATTAATTTTTTCTCAACATAAAAACCTATTCTTTTTATTCTCAAATGCTCATTTTTGCAACGATTTCATATTTTCAAGTTTCTGATTTTATTGTCATTCTTCTATTGAAACGAAGTGTACGTGGGTTAAATCTTATGCAACCAAGTGTTCTGTTAAATACACGCACCTTGAGAGAATAATAAATTCTGAATGGGGTGTTGTCCATTCTCTAGAATGCCAGTTCATGAGGTTCACATTGCATTAATCACTTCAAATTCTACTCCTTTCACTATCTATGCCTAAGTTCCCTTTCGTCGGGTCCTCAGTTGACTTTATTCTTCTGTCGAAAGTACGCACTATTAGTGACCATTAGTAAGAGGTAGGATGGTTCAATGCCGCTATTGAATCTACCCAATTGTGGTTGCGCTCGGAATTAAAACTTTGACCACACCCATTTTGTTTATATTCGAGAAGCCATCGAGAAAACAACAATAATTGAGCTATTTGAACATGGTCAAACAATGAAATGTTGTAAAGAAAGTGTCGTTGTGGTGTGTAGCTAATGATTACTTGCCATTCGTTGGTTTCACACTCATGAATACAAAGTAGCACGTATTTATTTGTGCTTTTAAAGTATTTCATGACCTGATGTTAATGAGTTATTGCATGTGGGAAAAATCTTAATCCTAAGAGAAACGGAGTGAGTTAATAGAGAGACACTAAATTGGTGGAAAAGATGAGCAAAATAAAATTAGGAGTGCCAAAATCATTAGGAAACGTCTTCATCTGATCCACCAGATAGAAAATATGCAAGACACCTATGAGCAGAATTGTGTATGAAAGGAAATGTTTTTTTATTGATGGGGATATTCTTACAGGACTTTTGCATGTAGATTAAATCTCTCATTTGATTCTTCCTTCAAAATACTAGTGGCATATACTTTAATGGATTAATTATTTACACTGAAACTGGAAAAATTACAACGTGACTTTTAACCCTATATAATACATTTTCTCCAATCGTTTAATCAATTTCTTCTTATTTTCTCATGTTTGTCATTTACGATTCTGTGTGATGAGGGGGTTGAAGGGTTTTCAGCTTCCGGTTCACTTGGATCATGGGTAAATGATGAATTTCAATTTGAGCAATTTTATCTGCAATTATGATAGGCCCTATTAAAATTAATGCACACATCACTAAGTTGTTTGAATGGTACTTACTTTCCCGGAAGACTCAGTTGGCACTTTATTGAAGTTTAACAACTGAGAGTAGAAGAAAAGGAAGGAGGAGTACTTTAGCCTCAAGCAGTGGCTCTCTTTTGAAAAAAGATACGTCATTACAAAATTGGATATGGGTTAAATTATAGTATTAGTTGATAAGCAATGTTGACATTGGAAGGTATTTCACTAGTGATCTTAACTAATCATGTGGGTGCATATAAATTCAAAAGTCAGTAGTTGAGTAATATTTATTCATTCGTTTGACAGCTATCATTAGCCCTTTGGCTGGCCTCGGGCTCCGCGGAGAGGAGGAGGAAGAACATCAAAGTGACAAAAAGGTCGAATAGGGGGGGGGGGGGGAACCACAGATGTTAAAGAGACAGACAGACACAAAGGCAGAGAAAAGGTGAGGTGAGTATTGTAGAAGTGGTCGAACATGACATACAGTGGGGTCATGGTAGTTTGAAGTGAGAAGTCAACTGCCATTTAATAGACCTTTTTTGCCGTATGAGTATACGTTGCCCAGGGTGCACCACGTGGAGGTAAGTCTATCGCACACCACAGTTGAGTAAATATAGTATGCAACTACGACTACACTGAGTACACACTGAGTGTGCTCATTGGAATTAACAAAAAATATCCGCTTTGACGTCTTAAGATCTAGGTTTATCAAATTTCGTACCAAATTTAGTCATACACCACATTAATCCACGAATCCATTTTTCAACCTTTTAGTTCAGAGCAATTTCCCACTCTCTGTTCTTCCATAGTGGACAGCTTCTGTTCCAGATTCTATTCTGCCGTCGTCTTAGGAAAGCTGAGTTTGTGGTGTAGTAAAGGAATGTGACTTTGTTATCTACATTTTAATTGTTTTTTTTCTGAACTTTGGCCTTTCCTCCATTTTTAGCATTTTATCATGTTATATGCAATCTGTGGTAAGCACAAATGCTAGTATACAGATAGAAGGATGAAAAACAATATCAAATTCTAAATGAATTCAAGTCAGTGTGCAAGGTCAAGTTAATGTTCATTGAATAACATTGTTTAACTTTGCAAGAATTTACTCCAAATTGCTCTTCAATTACAAATCTATGGCACATAACTGACGTATCAGCACAAAAGTGTTTCTGGGATCCCCACTCTGTAGGTTTCGGCTCCGAAGATAACTGATCAACTGATCAATCAAATACTTGAAATTCTTTCTTGTTTCATGAATGTTACATTAGATTCTATTTTAAACTGTACTGTAATGTGTAGAAAGCAACTCAATTTTATTTTTTAGGCTTTTAAATTAATCTCATTCAATTATTTACCATCGAGAGAAAAATATTTTTAATTTAAATGCACAAAAGGAACATCAAGTAAGCGTAGATCTCAAGCATGAACCCAAAATAAACTGCCTACAAGATTACTAAAAATTGATTCATAAAGTAGTGTATTTGTTTTGGATGATGTCACTATTGATGATCAGGTTCTTTGATTTCTTCAGGTTCAGATTTGAACCAGTGTCGTTAATTATGAACATTAAATTAGTTCTAAGTATATATTTGTAGGGAAAAGTTTTTATCATTGTTAAATTGTTTTATATATTTAGTATTTATTTATACTACTAAAAAACAGTAATAATCATTTTTAACTATAAGTAAGTCAATGCTTAGTATAAAGACGATGCGATAAACAATTTGGCATTAATACATAAATTCCCTAGATAACAATCAATAAATATTTATCTACACCTTCTATTAAAAGCAAATTTTATTATTTTACGTCAGCAAATAATATGAGGCCTAATAATGTATTGATAAACTATACAACTGGAGAGCCCTTTATCGCTTTGTCGAGGTAAACACTTATTCAAGCCTTTTCATTATACGGAATCACCTCAAGACACGCTTAAAGAAAGAGTGTGATATATGAAAAGAGAAAACATTTAAAGATCCTTTTGAGTGTTCTTCAATTCAAGAGATAAGCAGGTTTGCATAACCGTTTTACTTCTTTATAATCTGATGTTCGAATTGCAGAATTTCCCTAGTGGTTTGAGGATATTGACACCAAGGTTACCCCCTATGCACAACAGATGCGTCACGGTGCCACCTATGTATTTAAGGTAATTTACTTCTATCGATTCTGCCTTGTTAGAAGACTACTATTCCTGACTCTAGTTCGGTTCTGCCCTATGACAGTTGAATGTGTGGAGCTGGAGTGAAACGTCCCTCAATTCCTAAAAATTGCATTTGAGTTTTCTGAACTTTAGCCTCACCTCCATTTCAATTGCTAGATTGCTGACCTTTCCATCGAGTGTTATGAAAACTCCAGGCAAGCGCAACTGCTAATATTCACCTGTCACGTCAATGTCTGGGAGACCTTGGCACTTAAAAAATCTGTGCCTCGTAATCACCAAGAAGAACAATAAGTGAAAGGCCTGACTTCGTTTGAGTTCTATAATCTGCTAAACACACAATGTGATCTTAACTCGATGGCCAATCAAACGTATCATTCATGTGAATTGAGACCAATAAGAGAATCGTTCTAATTAACATAAATTTAAATGAAATGCGCCATACAAAATAGGATGTGAAGGTAATTCATTTATTGTTGACTTGATGAGCTTCTAAAATCATAAAATATTGACATCCAGTTTCCTTTCAGAGTGAAATGAGTAGATCGAATGTTATTACACTCGACGATTTTAATAAACGTTTCTTCGAAGCATCAATAAAGACCAATGGTAGATTTTTTATATTTGGCTTCTCAATACTTTGATTTAATTACCAGTCCATTAATTCATGCTACTTTAATATATTCAAAATTCAGATTGTATATATGTGCACCTTTCATGAATCACCACTATTCTAACTTTAGAAATATTTTGAATAGGAAAAGGTGGAAACTGTGTCACTTCACCAATGAGCGTTGGTGTGTTGTTATCTGCACTCCTTTATTCTAAGGGACCACAGGGTGATACGGCGAAAGAGATATGTGAAGCTCTTGTTGGAAATAGCAAGAAGCCCACTAGTCCTTATGATGCAGTCTACACAGAGGTCGCAAGCCTACTGGAAAAAATCCGCCAGGGCGTTGAGACTGCAAAGTCACCTGAGGGGGAGAGTGTATTGAAAATTTCCAATGCTGCATTCATTGAGAAATCATTTTCAGTTAAAGATCAGTTCATCAAAGGCTTCACCTTTTTCCATGGAGACAAGGTAATGAGAACACTGTTCAACAATTCCGACGCCTTTGAAAACATAAACGAATGGGCAAATACAGCTACGGACGGATTGATTCCGAAGTTTCTTAACTCTAAAGATGAATTTAGTGAGGACGCCGTGTTAGTGCTACTGAGTGCCATAACTTTCAAGGGTGAGTTAATTTGCTTTGATCTTAATTAGCGTCTTTTAAAAATTTAACAGAGGGTTACCTTTTCGGATATTATTGATTTGAGCGATTTAATTGTAAAACGTGAGATTCAGCCTTGTTACTTTCCTGCTCAAACGATCACCTCAACTTGAAAGATATTGGAGGTGAAATGGTGAATGACGATTTCAAGTTGGACATGGTGATAGGTAGAGATTTTATTTAACAGTGCGCCTCATATTCCTAAGGTTTAACGTAAAGCGCAAACATAATTTCAAACCTATTTTTCAAATTCTCAAAATCCGCTCAATTTAGACGAGTGGAGCGAACCGTTTGAAACTGTTACTACTTCTAATCGGGACTTCCGTTTGACAAAAAATGAAACCATTCAAGTTCCGATGATGTTCATTGAAGAAAAATTGACGTATATTGAGAACGATGGCTATAAAGTCCTTGCTAAGTCTTTCAAACTAAGGAAAGTTTTATTTTCCCTCAAAATTGGAGTTGAATGATGTCTATTTACTTTATACCTCTCACACAATTCTATTATAGAATGAGAGATTCAGCTTTGTTATTTTCCTGCCCAAAAAGGACTTCGAGTTACAAGACATTGAAAGTGTCATAGGGAAAGGAGATTTCAAATGGAACAGAGTGTCAAGTATTGAAAATATTAAAAAGATGCAACTCATACTCCCAAAGTTTAAAGTGGAACACAAATTCGATCTCAAACCCATTCTTCAACTTCTTGGAATTCGTTCAATTTTTACAAGAGGAGCTGCTAATCTGTCAGGTAAGGAATGTTATTTGCAACGAAAGGTTGATTTTCTAACTATTTTTTCTTGTGTTTATTAATCTTTACCCACTCAAATTTTGTGATGATTAGATTAAGAAACGACTTGTTAAAACAGAAGGAAAGAGTGCGTGGGGGTTATCGTGAATGAATGATTCACATGAACTAGCTTAGTGAGCGCGATACCTTCAAATTACTCATGAAATTTAGAATTTTCCCTAAACGCTTTTGGAAATGGATCTTCTTTTGGGCTTGAAGAACTGGCTAACGTGTAACTTTAATTACCTAAAAAGGTCTTTTTCCATAAATGCAGTCTAAAATTTGTATTGAATCGGCAGGAATAAGTAATTCAGCTCCGCTGTATGCCGTTGATGCCAAACAAATTGGCATGATCGAAGTCGATGAGGCTGGTGTGAAGGCGGCAGCTGTTAGTGCATTCAAATTGGAAGCTTATCGTAAATCCTCTCGTGCTACACCGTTCATTGTTGATCAACCTTTCTACTGTGCCATCTATGATAGCCAATTGGACTTGGCTCTGTTTATTGCCCGTATTGTCGATCCTCGTTAGACAAATGAGGATTCAACTGAAGGCAAATCTGAACTCCTTTGTTGCAAATGAATCTGTCGTTTTGATCTGATTATTAATAAAGTTAAGTTTCGTAGCCATCATTTCATTATCTTCTTACGTGTAATCCAATGAGCAAATGCGTTATGTTACAACTGAAATTGAGACATACTAATTTCAATCAACCAACCGCGTCCCAGTTCCATTTGTCTTCTTACCACTTGCCTTAACTGTGCGGTTAACCAACTTGCACACACACACAAAATTCGAAAACTCACATTTGTTTTTTTTTTCGAGCAATATACGGCACCTGACTGCATCTTTGATGATCTGCAAACCCTTTCAAATCCTTTGAAATGTTTCATTGTTATCAAAATTTCTACAGAGTTTTTATCATTATTTCAAGATTTTGCCTGCAATGAGGCTATAAGCTATCGTTTGTACACATTTCGACATCTGTTCGTGTGGATTTGACTACTTTATCACAGTTGTTCCACTTGTGGATCATAGTAGATTGATAAGATTCTCCTTGAGTCGTTAATTGAGAGCAAAATAACATGATAAATTACATTTCCGGGTTTTGTGCACACATTCTAAGTTCCAATAAGTAAAATTATAAAAATTTTATAATTTATTAAAATTTGTCTATTCATATTGGATGAAATTACGATCTGGTGATGTTTCATTCGAAAAGAACACTCGATACGAAAAATAATTAAATTTTAAAACGTTATATTCCCAAAAGTATTTATAGACGAAAGTTTGAGTTGCTCAGCATCAACAAGAAAATTAGGAACCTTCGAAATCCTCCAATGTTAGGCTCCATGAAGTCTTCAATCATCCATTCTACCCACCCACTTTAGAGCATTCGTCGAGAACGGAATAAAGCATGTCTATTCGTGAAAAAAGTGCAATTTTGGACTCTCATTTAAATACTAATGAATAGCCTAATTATTTCGAATTTTTAAAAAAATGCATTTCAAAATTAAACCTTGAAACTTGACACTTTAATTGATAAATTCAAATAAGATCTAAGCTATTCTCGCGAAATTTCATTTTAATTTCTTTGCCATGCGCTCATACGCTAAATTTGTCCTTAAAATCCACTAACCTTGAAATATTCAAATACCTTACAACTTTCATTTTGGCAATCAATTAATATTATTATTGCTATCATAATCATGGGTCAATTTAAAAGCCTAAAATCTTAAACACTCATGAATATTATTTTTTCAATGATACGAATTGGCAAACAGCGAGTACCGTTTGGGGTAAATTTTTCAGGAGCTATTGCTTTTATCTATTTGTCGTTGAAATTCGAACAGTTCTTTTTGGCTATGAACGTTGAATAGTCGTTCTTGCTTTTATATTTTTTATTAATCAAGAGGCTTCTGCTGTTGTCATTCTAAAGATGTGTTCACCACAAGCTCAATAATTTTAAATATTTTATTTAAAATATCATTCCTTAGATGGATCTATAAATTGATTCTTTGAGCAATCTTCAAAAGAAATTCATATACTATACATATACATATTAGTAATTAAAGAGGTAAAATTAAGTTGATTATTCAAAAAGTGTAAATGAAATGAATTATGACAAATAATTAAAATGACCTCAGCCACAGATTTCAATAATGCGCCAAACATAGCATTGGCAAACAATTTTTTCACTCGAAGGCAAATGTTTGACTTTGTATAGTGAAGTATTTATTTATATCAAATGGCAGGTATCTTGATGGTTATCATTATCCCTTTAATTGACTTCAGGCTTCACAGAGAGGAAGGAACATCAAATTGAAAAAATTCGAGAGGGGGGAACAGAAGAGTGTTTCAAAGATGTAAGAGACAAACACAAAGGTAGAACAAAGGTGAGGTGAGTACTGTGGAAATAGTCGAATATGGCATAGAGTGAGGTGATGGTAGTTTGAAGTGAGAAGTCAACTGCTGAGTTATAGACTTTTTTGCCGTATGAATATACGTTGCCCAGGGCGCACCACGTGGAGGTAAGTCTATCGCACACCCCGCTCTGGCAAAAATAATCCCGTGTAAAATAATTTTCTTGACTAGCCAATCTACCCTATCAGTGTTGATAAGGCGGAACATATGGAAGGAATAACCTTTATTACAACTTGTCGATTGGTGCCACGAATGCTTAACCATTAAAGTATAAATAGCACTAAACCCCCGTTGCAAGGGCATCTGATTGGTTAAGAGGTCCGTCTGCACGCAAGCCACACTTGATTGGTATGCGAACATCTTCCAGACTGTTCGAGCGCTTGTGAGTTCCCTTGGATCAGATCTTATAGAGCTGTCCACTGCACGACCGGCATTTTGAAAGTTCTTCTGTAATCTTTCGTTGAAAACAAATAGAATAAAATAAGTACCGGAAGAGTCACTTAGTACAAAAATTTAACAAAAAAATATTTTTTCTAGCTCTGTTACGCTGACTTCGTCTTGTACGAAAATTTGGATGTCTTCGAGATCTTTGAGCCGGGATGCTTGGATAAGTTCCCAAATTTAAAACAATTTAAGATGAACTTTGAGGTAATTTTATCAAGTTAATCAAGCCTCTACTTCATTATTGATTCTTTCAAATTTTTTGCTTTCTTTATTAGTCACTGCCCAAAATTAAGGCCTATTTGCAGTCGGAAAAATCGATCAAGTGGCCACTCAACAATTGGCTGGCCAAATTTGGAGGCGGTCTTGAGCCACCAAAGAAGAATTAGTAATAGGATGCCCAACGGATCACATTCATTCATTTTAAATTTAACGTTTTTCATGCACTTTTCATCCAAATAAAGTCTCTAATCTCCTTCATTCAACATGTGTCTTCTCCGTTCTATCTCGTATAAAGCTAACATCATGACTGAGCTATCAATTCAAATGGTTACTGACCTCAGTTAAAAATGCATTTCTTCCCAAATGAACAAGTGGACAAAATAATAAGCTCGTATCATTTATTTATATCAAATGGCAGGGGTTCTGATAGTTATCATTAGCCCTTTAGTTGACTTCAGGCTTCACAGAGGGGAAGGAACATCAATGTGAAAAAAAGTCGAAAGTGGGGGGGG